GGTCCAATACTAAGAGAATATTGGACCGGCAATAGAGCATTTTGATTGGTTGATTTTAGTTATTGGCCCTCTGACTGCCCGAGTCGTGTAATAAGAGTTGTTATTGACCCCTTAACTCCCAAAGGTGATTAGCATGTAACTTTTTCCATTTAACACCTGTCCAACACATTGACACCAAATTCTCAAAACTAATTTACAACAAAATCTGTAGCAGCTAGAGGGAAGAGTTAACAAACAGATCTGCAGAGTTCTAGGGTTGAGATACTGTTCCAGAAAACAGTTTTAATTTAAACCCCAACATACGTGTGTTATTATAAAAAAGGGTCTACATAAAAAGCCTCTAATCATCTGAAACAGAGTCCATTGTTCTCCATTTCCATGGGTGTGCTAAGAGAACTTCAAAGAAAAACAATCTCTGGATTTCACCYGGATCATTTCAGCCAAGGCTCGACACTAATGGTAGCCCACTAGCCACAGGCTAGTAGAAATTCAGTTTTGGCAAGTGGTTTTCGATTTCCACTAGCCAGTTTGGTTAGTAAACAATTTGAAATTGTCGTAACATCTAAGATATCAGGAGCCACTTGGCTAGTAAGTTGAAAAGTTTGTGACAAGCCCTGTCAGGGCTTAGGACTTTTAAAGGCTTATAGTTTCTAAAGAAACTGTTTGGGGCTGCATCGGTGGGGAGGTAATGGAATAATTTGAATATATCAACAAAGTTGAAATGGTAAATTGGCCACGGTTACGATTATAAAAGCTGACGTTTCGAGCGTGAGCACTTAGTCCGAGCGAAACAGGACTTTTACACTGGATACCACTGATAAGCAGGGTGGTCAATAGAAAATGTAATTGACCCATGATCTGAACTGAGTGGGCCAATGAATTGAATTATGCCTACATGCCTACATGGCATGTTGCTATGCAACAAGTGCTTGACTTCTTGGGGGGGGGGGGTCAGGGGGAGAGGCTGCAAGGTTAAAATTTGAACATCTCCAGGGTGTGATTCTTAGCATTTTGGGACATATTTCAGTAATATTTTTAGCCGGACATTGTTTTATGTCTTTGATTACAATCCATCAATAAGTAGTTGCCTACTAAATTCTAATGACAACCCCACATAATGCATCCATGTAAAGAGGATTCCCCTTGTTATTCATGTTAAATCTGAGGTCACTCAGGAGATGCTCTTATTCAATGAGATAGGAAAACCACAGGGTTAACTAATTACATGTTTGAGAATATTCAAGAAAAGGAGGGGTTTTTTAAACTAATCACAGAAACTGTGGATGTAAGACCAGCGTCGTAGGCTTGCCATGTTTGCATAAAAGTATAACTTAGGCTATCAAAATGTAGCCTTTAAGATTTGGCCCCAGTTGTTAAAAGTTTGGTTGACGCTATCCACTGGGTAAATCTCTATGCCATGGATAGTGCAGTATGTTTTACAATCATTTATCCGCCCGATACTGTTTTATCTGTTCGATAGCATTATCCACTCTTTATACAACTGGGCCCTGAGTGATAAACCGAGAATTGTCTAGTTCCTCATGACCACCAAGTATAATGGATTTCTTAAAAACCCTTTATTGAAAACTACACCAATGCAATAAAAAAGTATACCTTTGCCTGGTGGTAGACAGTCAGGAAAAGAATTAACTTTCTTTATAAGTGATTCATACTGGACTTTTATCGCTGCATGGCTCGGCCAAATGTCATTTTCACAAGCATTGAGACAAGACCGCAATTCCAGAATTTTCTGGCAGATCTTTAAGTTGTTCTCATTGAACTGACTCTGACATGCTGTCAACCAATGTTCAGTACAGTTACTGCTAGCATAGGATTCTGCGAAAAAAAAAAGTACCAAAATATATCAGTATTTTGAAAGTTTTGACCCACTGATGGAATTTGTGTGAACTTTAAAACATTATAGGATGTTACGACACCCCTACTCCATAACACAACAACTGTAATGATTCAATTAAAGCACCTAGGGAACTTTTCTACTCATTAAACCTCAAGAGAGGGCAGTTAATTGAAACAGGTTTGCTCACAAGGCACCTATTTTGGCAGAATATGTCAAACAAAGCTTTGATTTTTTTTTAAAAAGTACCACTAAGACTGGAAAATGGACTTGCTGTCCTAAGATCCCTCTTAGCTTGAACAACAATCCAGGAATAGGTTCGCAAATTTTGAGATGAGATTATTTGTTTAAAGGAATGGTGCACTCACATGTCCTCCAATACATTATGATGTAAATTTTTTACAACATATAACTATTTAACCCATATTTAGTGATTTCACATTCAACTTGGAAAAAAAACCTATGGTTGGTAAAAATTTTAACAAAATCTACAACTTCTTGAGCAACAAAATCACTTCCATTGTTCATGAACTCGTATTTACATCCACTTCTTAATAAATAAGCTAAGGGACACTTCATAAATAAACAATCATTGCTCAAGTGTCCACAAAAATTCATTGACAATGAGGTGCTAAGTCCAGGTATTCTGATGGAAACGTTTTAAATTAGGAAATGCTTTTTAATGGTTTGACCTATCCATGGCAATAAAGTTGGAACCACTATATTTAAAATATTAATCTTAATTTTGGTGTTTATCTTAATCTAACACCAAATTCTTGTAACTAATTTACAAGGGAATTTGTAACAATGAGAGGGGAGAATTAAAAATCAAATTGTAGGAATTAAAGGGTTAGCAAGCTTTGAAATCTGGCCTAGTCTCATGGTATGTTCCAGAATAGCACATCATGAGATAGACCATGCATGCAGTACTCAATACAGGAATAACATGCCACTCAAATCACTCTGAGTGCAAGGAGAATTAAATGTTGTGCCAACAATTTTCTAAATAGCTGCCTCTCTTTAACTTAAAGGATGAAACTAAACTTTGGTTGTTCTCTCAAAGTAAGGAGTGATTGAAATATAACAATGTCCGTGCCACCAAGATTAGTGGTCGTTGTCAAATATTCCCCTCAACTATCTCTTGAGCAATATTCTGCACTATTCACTACACCATAGGAAAATAATTCTTCAGAGCTTTGAAATTATCTAAAGCTGTTTAGAAGCTGTTTAAGGCTGGACAATAAGCGTGCGAGTGCTTTAAGAATACAAATCAAAAAGGTCACGTACCCCCTGGGAACAACAGGAAATTGCCCAAAGGCTTCAAATTAACTTGTGGGTAGGAAATTGATCGTCAAAATTTACAATAGATAAAATATTGCACGAAAGCGCAAAATCACGGTATGTATGGTTCTCACTTATTTCGTTGCATGTTACAAAACCGAATATTTAGAATCTGACCTCGTTCATCTATTTTCAAGTGTCAACTTTCTACTTTATAAATAAACCTATCTCGTTTAATGATGGAGGAGAGTATTAATTTGATGTAAATTGCTGCTCATGATAACAAAACGAGATGCCTGGCGAAATACTTGAAACAGGAGATGACCCCAGGCAATATTGCCGAGCAAAAGGCAAACTAACACGAAACGAACGAGTTTTCCCACAAGACAATGTTATCACTGAATCAGTGAAGGCAAGAGGTTTAGCATTTTTGCCGAATATAATCCTTTTATTCGAGGAAGCCTAAGAAGAGGATTTTGAGTTTAGCATACCTTTTTGGCGCTAGTAGTTTAAAGAAACTTGACACGGCAAAGCACTTAATAAAAATAAACGAGTAAAGAACAAGTATTGTCAACACAACAACCTCGCTTTTGATTTGTTCGCAATTTTTTTTTTCGCCATGACAGAACAATAGTAAGATTTACGAAAGCGCGATTGCAAAAAGGTAGCTAAAACCCAAGTTCAAAGGTGAAAAATATACGGATACCAAAGAATTTAGTAAACGATTCTAACCCTATCGCAAGAGATTGACAAGAAAGAGTGAACCACGGATAACTTGTGAAAAACAAGGTCTCGTAAAAATAAAACACAATAATCGATGCGAGTCGTTTCGAATAGCATGTAATTGGAAACATCACAATATTATTCGGTTGCTAAAGCGTCAAGCGAGCCTCTATAAGAAAAAGTTGACTTTCCCACTACTGAAATTTGCATGCACGCACCTCTGTCGATACCTTTCTGGAACTAACCCAAAGGTGAGTGAAATGCAAGATTAGTTGAATTAATAACGATCTGCATGTTTGCCGAGACAAACTCACCTCTCAAGTAAACAATTCACATTTCCTATTAGAAGCACAAAGCACTGAAATAGTAAAGAACGTGATGCTTCACTCGATGTTGATGTTAAACCGACGATTGCCAGCGACGAGGATCAGTTCTTATTTTTATGTCACGTCGCTGACTGATCAGCGAAGCAGAACCTTAGAAGCCTATAATCTTTAAAGAAGCTAAAAACAAAATCTAACTTCTAAGGTCACCGTCAAAGTTGAATGTTGTGCTAAGAGCCATTTCCGTTACATTTACATACCTTTTGAAGACATCACAAGCCAAAAAATCAATAAAACGAAGCCACATCTCGCTAAATCGTCCATGTTTCTTGTAGTATATCTGCAAACAACAAACCCCAATGTCGGTTTTTGTCAATGTGTCCTATTATGGAAACTGACTCAAGGAAAGCACAGTGATTGGCTGACAAGGGGGAACAGATGTCACTTTCTTTACAACGTCTGGCGGCTAAATGATTACAGGTCATTCGTGGGCGAAATAAGAGAAAATTGGCCCTATTGTAATAGAACCAATCGTAAATAAGGCTTTTTTTTCGTCGGGAACAACAAAGGATTTCGCTAAATTTGAGTTAAGATGCCGAGAAAGAAGGCTTTTTATCCATCGCGTCCAGGGTAATGAATGACTTCTTAAAATGCCGACTTATTAACATGCAAAACACGAAGAAGCCTTTGAGGCTTTTGTGAGAAATTTCAAGTGCCGGTAGCGAGGCGATGCTTTCAAAAATGGATGCCGAATCTGTTTTTCTAACTTTATATCCGTGAAAGCACTCACCCTCTGTTATTCTTTCTTTTCAAACTTCAATTAAGAAAATTTTGCAAATTAAAGCCATAAGATTACTTCATAATTGATGTAAAAAACTCTTTTTTTTCCAGTCATTTAATGGCTTCAGGACAACAGATGATAATTCTAATAGCATTGGCTGACTTCCCCGAATTTAATCTTATTGTATTCCTTTCCTTGAGTTGCCACCCTCAACATTCCATCATCCCTGATATGTCTGGAAAGAATAGGATGCACCCCGCCATGACAAAGCTATTTTAAATGTGGCAGTCAAAATTTAGTGGTAGTCGTAAATATCCTTGCTATTTTATTCTGTTTATTTTGTGAATGTCCAGGGACGGTTTTGTCTCATCAGCCTAAAAGGTGTTGATAAGTCTGTTTAAGGACAGACTATTGAATTTATTTAGCTTTCTAGCAGAGAAGTGTTCTCTATTTTCATTGCATTTTTAGTTTCTTTGTTCATTTTAATTTCCTAATTTTCAATATTTTTAATCAACAGCATCCAGCATTCATTGCGCAGTCTGCGGGAAGTTCAAATTTTTAAACAACCAATCAGATCAACGGATAGTCGGTTGTTTTCTTGCAATGAGTCGGTGAAAGAGTGGATCGAACACAAAATAACGTTTTATTCACCGATCGCCTCTGGTTTTATCAATTTTATAAGTTTGCTTCAGCTTAATTATTGGCTTTTGCAGGTAACAGTCGGATCTCTACAGCTTTTTCGGTGAGTATTTGGAGATGAAGCGCGCTGTAATTTTGCTGCAATTTAGTTCAACGGTTTGCATAACCTTCGAAGATGCCTAGATACTCAAAGATATCAATGATTCTTTTAAATTACATGATGATGTAAAAAAAGTGAGCGTACTGTTTAAAACTCTGTGAAATTCACAAATCTTTTGCGTCAAACTTTTCTCTGAGCGTGTGTTCGAAAACTTCCCACTTGAGACTGGTCGTTTTAGTAGAATTGATTCGGAGAAACTTCTGTTTAATGCATGGTTTTGAATTCTTCGATAAATTTCAGTTGAAATTGTAGCGTACTGATATAAGATACTTAGTAATTTTTTACTTCAATTATTTTGATAAGATTCCTTACCTTGTGACAAAAAGACCAATGCAAATTTTGTCATTTCACTAGTTATGAACGACCAGCCTTTTATCGAAAAGGCAACGTGCATGAATTCATTTACAATGTAACCCATTCATTCACAATGATAATACAGATAATAACTTTTTTTGTATCTGCTGGTTCCAGATCAAGAAGTTCTGCAAATGGATGCTACAGAAGTTCAAGTTGTAAGTCAAAAACTGTTCTAATAGGTATTGCTACTTCCCCTGGATGGGATACCGGTTCATCCAGATTTTGTCAGGTTTCCCAACCAGCTAGATAGTGGTCATTTATGTTATTGTCCAGAGAGGCACTGTGAGGGCCAAAGAACACAGCAAAATGAACAAAGGGAGGTCTCAAACCAAGACCACTTGTTTGGGAATCCAGTGCATAATGCACCGATCAGTTCAAAGCTTTAACACCCCCATGCTGGGTAACCCACAAGCACTTGACTGTCATCTGTGCCCAGGAGGGTGGGGAATTGAAATCTTGCCCTCGTAGTGCCTTTCCAACAAGTGTTATATCTTTAAATATGGAGATATTTAAGGTGAAAGTTCACTTTGATGAACAAATGGCTCAGACGAAAATGGTCTACAAGGTTTATAATTTAAAGTTTAGTCAATGTGTAGAATGTCATGGTCGCTGGTTTCGCATTTTGCCAAAACAAAATCAGGTGGGGTTTTCAAACACAATTTCTGCTCCTGGGGAGTAGGAATTTGAACAAACCAATCTTCAAGAGTTCAAAAGCCTATAGGGTTGGCCAGGGGAGGATTATGAAGCTTCTAATGACTGACACATAACTGTTAGACTAAGAAATTGTTCCTATGATTGTCACATAGAAATCCTTTGACTCCTTCCCTGATCTGTTTTCATCCTTAAGCGTTCCCCATTATCAACTCAAGATCAAAATATAATGGCCAACAAACAAATTGGCAAACCTCAATTTGTCAGCAAACTGAGGCCACCCTCAGCTGTCAAGAGGCCTCGTGAACAAGCTTTCACCAAAGGAGCACCACCAAGCTTTGAGGTGTGTATATATTTGGGATGAAGATACTGCAGGATAGGAAAATTCTGTAGGTTTTGACTGTCGGGAATTGTTTATGATCTGAATAAAGAGGTTGGAAAAATCTTGCAACAGGAAATACAGCATTTTTTTATAAGTCCATTTGAAGTAGGCGGTGGGTTAACTTAGGTTGTGTGTCACTTTTTTTGCAATAATTGAGACATGAGATTTGCCTTAACTCATCACGTACAGTGGAAACCTGCTGACTCAAACTCCCAAGAGAAACAAAAAAAATTGTTCAAGTTAGCTCTGGTTTGAGCTAGCTGATAGTGAATGAACGGAAAATGGAGTCTAAGGAAATCAAATCTAGGAAAGAGAGCTACTGTAATTGAAGTTGAAATTCTTTGAAAATAGATTCGAAGCATAATGTTTGGTCATCTCAAACTGCTAACTTTAAGGAGACAAACCTCAGCAAACACTGTGAGACAATGTAACTCCACTCTGGTATGACCAGCGGCTGATAATCTTTCCATTGTTGCCACGAAAAGTTCTTCTCAAAAACTTATGTAAATTCACATGCCATAAGTTAATGGGTTTGCTGAATTCTGAATTTTACCAAGGACAGACGGTGGTTTTTCCAACCATGATGATCAGTATTTGCTGGGAAGATAATTCATAATATTATTGTCATATAAATCATCTGTTTGTATTTAGAGTGGTTGGTATTGTCAGTGACTTGTGTTTTCTTAACTTACACGTCCATTTTCTAGATATAGTTGGTCAATTCCAAGTTGCGGACGTGACATTTAGAGGCAAAATTTGGGTATTAAATGTCTCCTAAAGTCAGATCCACACTATTTGAATTGAAATGAGTCATGTCATAAAATTACCCCTGAAGTACCTTTTATTTTGCCAGAAAACATTTTGACTATCTCTTAGAGATCCAGAGAAAATAATTTTTCAAAGTGTGTTGCAGATGTGACTCCTAAAACAACCATTGATTTGAATTGCTTTTGCTTACTTCAAATTTCCTGTGAAT